GGAGAGCAACCTTCTATACCCAAATTATTGATTCAAAACACTTGCTTTATCACCAAGGAATAAGAACCACCTATTCCTCCGGTAACAGGGAAGACTAATTGCAGCCAGTCAGAACAAAGGTCCAGGTGATTAGCCAGTACCTTCCCCAAATCAAGGAGACGACTTTAGCAGGGCCCCACTATACACTAGGGTGTCGAACAGATCCCACTAAAGGCCTTACGAAAAAGGTAGCGGCAAAACAGTTTCAGGAATGATGAAACAAGCGTATACACAATCAGATCACCATATTCTCTAATGGATCGGAACAGACCGATAAGGATAATAGGCGAGTAGGATATGGATATATTGTATATAGAGGATAGATAGTAGTATGTAAAGGAAACAATGAATTGCATTACAATTCTCATATATTCGACACAGAAGCGATCGGGGCATACCGAGGCCTTCAAGTAGCGATCAGAAATATTACCGGTATAAAACAAATGGAAATCTGTATATGCATCGATAGCATATCAGTGATATAGGGAATGAAAGGCATAGCCTCTATCACATCGCAATGGGCTTTCCTCAAATGCTATAAACTAATGCAAACACACTCGATCCAGATCAAATAGTCGCCAGGCTATATAGGGATCGAAGGGAATGAGTGTATGGATGCACTTGCTAACAAAGGAACAAGAAAATCAGCCTTAGGGTATATAAATCGATCTATAGCAAGTGATATCCATTTTATAGCAAAAACTACTATGGAATCAGCAGTATAGATATAGTGAATCAAATAGATATTAATACTTTCCAAACAATACCAAAAATGAAATCTAAAGAGTATAAACAAATACCTTAAGGAATTAAAACTCTTATAAATAACTCTTTATTACATACTAGTGATCCATTCAGTACATAACAACTTCGAAAACTACCATCGACAATTTAAATACAAGAAAACAACAATCCACTACTTATACAAAGCATTCAAATCCCCCGAGCATATTGTGCATTACCACAAAGTTCTTACGACCTATAAAACCTAACCCTTAGATATCAAGTTTAAATATTTATTCTGTAATCAAGTAGTTTAAAAATGATTACTGAAATAGCTAATATATACACTAACTAAATTCACTAAATTCATTACTATAATAGATTTTTATAAAAACATATACCCTAAAATATTATCAAAAAATAAAAAGAGAAAAGGAAAAGAATCAATTGATCCAAGCAAACATAAGCAAGAAATAGAAGAGGATAGATCTAAAAAAACTATATAAAAGAAAATTGAAGCATATAGTATATTATATTATAATAGAATATATACAAAGCTACCCTTACAGGATAAAACAGTTTTTAAATAAATACTATATAAAAGATCGGAAAGCGTGCATGAAAGCACTTAGAGGATTGGAGATAAAGATACAAGTGCACTAGCCATCACTTGGGAGACTACTAAGAGTATTGAGATCCTATCCCTAAGAAAAGGGGATCATGTAAACTAGAAGATTATCCCGTAGTTAGCCCAACCGTAATGCCCCCTGGGAGGCTCGCCTATACGACCCGGTTGAAAATTACTAATAATAATAATAATAATAATAATATTACACAAAGCTAGAGAAACTCTAATACTATTAATCCTTTTGATTTTATTATACCCAAACCTGAATTTCTGTTTGTTATATTAGAACCCGACCCTGTAATACCTCTAAAGAATTGAAAAACATTTTTAAACCTGCCTACCAACCTGTTATTCCTATTCCAAAAAGGCTACCAAGCTGACCTTGTTCCCAAATCTATTCTGAAATCCCTATAAGAGGGATTCCCGAAATACTCGAGAATCATTTTTACTGAGTACTCCGAAAATAATAGCTTATTATACTATCAAGGGAAACTGTATATTCCCAATTATAATCCCCTGAAATCTCATTTGCTCCGCCTATATTACAAGTCCCCTACCACTAGTCACCCGTACTATACCCGAACTTTCGAACTGTTATTCCGAAATTACTACTAGCCTAATTATTATGATTATATCACACAGTGGGTTCGCAATTATTATAATTGCTATCGCACTGCCCCTAATTATAAAGACTAGGAAGAAGTCCTTTACTTGTTTCCAATCCCACAAAGAGTTTGACAAGATATTTTTATAGATTTCATTACACATCTACCTGAAAGTATTAATTTCGATACTATTATAGTGATAGTCGATCGCCTGATTAAAATAAAGTACTTTCTACTCTATTATAATATTTATAACTTTAAAAAAATCGCTTGCCTATTCCGAAAGAATATCTGGAAGCTTTATGACTTGCCTCTAACAATCATTTCCGATTATAGAGCTCAATTCGTATCCAAATTCTGGAAGTATATCTATAAGTGTTTAAAAGTATCTACCAGACTCTTTATCACTTACCATTCTAAAATTAATGGATAAACTAAAAGAATCAATACAATACTAAAGCAATATCTCAAATTGTATATAGCTTACCTACAAAACGATTAAGCAAAATGGCTTTTATTTATTGAATTCTCTATTAATAATACCTGATCCGAAAATACTTAAATAACCTTGTTTTTCTTTAATTACAGTTTTTATTCCTATTTAAACTTTGAGCCTACCCCGTCCAAAAACAATCATTCTGCTATAAAAAATATCAAGGAATTCGTTTTCAAGATAAAGGCAATCTCCTTATATCTGAAAATAGAATTGACCATTAACCAAACCCAATACTTAAAGAATACTGATTCCCGTTATTCCTTTACCCATCGATATACCCCTAGTGACCTGATTTAATTAAATACCAGAAATATCAAAACTCTATATTTACAAAAAAAGCTTAATTGAAAGAACCTTAGCCTATTCAAGATTCTGAATTTAATAAACCCCTATATCTATAAATTGAAACTTCCTATCTCTATAAGGATTCACTCTGTTTTTTATATTAACCTACTATATCCCACATATAATAATCCTATTTCTAAATAATATAATCTATTACCATTATTTATAAAAATCAATGGCTTGGAGTATTTCAAAGCCGCCAAGATTCTGAATTCCTGCTGAAAAAGAAAAGATCGTAAAGAACCTTGTTTGAAATATATTGTCCATTGGATTAATTACAATAAGCTAATCGAAGAACCCATTAGCTATTTAAAAGATACATAGAAATTAATCCGCAACTTCTATTATAAATATCCTAATAAACCTGAACCTATCTAACCTGAATTACCTGCCTATAAGATTGTGAATTGTGATATACTGCTTTATTGAAGCTCGATCTGAAAGAAGAGGATAATATTATAATATGGATATATATAATCAATAAGCAATAAGCTAGGCCCTATTAGACTAGCTTATAAATGAAAATTCTGTATATCTTTACATTGGAAGATTCTGTATTGTAATTCTTCGAGCTACATCTTAATCTACATCCTGTACCTATTGTTCTTAGCACCATCGAATATAGATTCCTGATCCCGCCTGCCTGCCCGTGACACCTATAATCAGCTAGTCAGCAATCTCGGGGGTGTATCACGAGAGAATATACCTATATAAACCCAATTAGCTTAATACTATCGGTAATATCACTTTTAGCGTGATAATTTTGAATTCGAATTCTTATTTTAAATCTATTTAGAACCTATAGAAAGCCTCAAATACTTTAAATACTGTAAAGTTATTATAATTGATAAAAAGCAAGTAAAAGCTTTTAATATTGAATTTTGAGAGGAAATAGTTCAATATCTATTCAAATCGCTTAAAGCAGCAATAGAATCTATAAAAACAGCAAGATTTTAGTAAAAGTGAGGTTTACATTAATTACCCTTATAACCTCCGTAAAATCTTACAATCAAGGTTCATACGAATTTCGACGCCGCTCCTATGCAGGAAAATGGTCTGTCAGAACTAGTCATAACGCTGAGCATTGACCTCCCCTCGTTTTCGGCTAATCAAATGCCCCTCCATCAAGGAAGGAGGCTCTACGTAACCGAAAAAAGCGATGGAAATTAACCACCATTCAAAAGAACTTCAACAATTAAGATCTCTTTTCGATATAATATTAAATAATAAAAACACGCCATATCAATACAAAAAAGACTCAAATTTTCATTAGCTTTTTTCAAATTTCAATATTTAATTTGAAATGAATTTATAAACTATTAAAAAAGATTTTTAAAAGAGTACTCAATTTCCGCCGCTTTTTTCGGTTACGTAGAGGGTGGCTTGAAAAATATGCAGATAATTAATGCCCTACAAAATCTATGGCACCAACTAATCACTCATACCATCGACAATCATGGTTTAGCGAGCACGTGACTCACAATGGTATGGAAGCATGAGGCTAAGTAACATGTTGGGAGTTACAATTTATATCAATCCTTGCTTGCTTGAGTAAGTTGTTCTACATGGTTGTAACTAATTTTCTAGCCCATTTGGCTACTAATAAACAGACGATGGTTTGAAATCTGCAAGTCCATATGATAACATAGTACCAGTACATTGCAGGCCCCGTAAATTGCAGTCAAAAGCGTCTGGGCATATTCCATTGTCATCCAATTGTACTCAGTCATACCACCAACAATTCATTAGATTTTCCGACCTGAATCAGATGGTCTGTTCCTTGACCAACGGTCTTTGGGCTTCTTCTCAGCTAACCCAAACTCGTTTCTCTTCTCTTTCCGTAACTACGCATGCTTTTCTGCAAGTGTGCAAAAAATCCAAAGCAGGAGATAGCGGCAAGTATCAGCCAAATCACTCGTAGAGCCTTCACATAAACCTCTATGACTTGAGATTGCGCGGTAGCGGGCAATGCGTTAATCGTGCCCTTGTTTGAGTACGCGTATGCCTGTCCGTTGGCCATCAAGCCACGCACTGCCTCATCTTCCACTATCCCCAGATATCTATTAATCTGGCTGTTGAATGCGATTGAAGTAATGGTCGATCCCCACACAAAGCCGAAAGAGCGCACGAATGAGTACGCACCAGTAGCAATAGCTACATCTTTTTATTTTAACGGTGCAAGTGTAGAGATCAAGGTAGATGTAAATATGAGGCCAACTCCGCTTGATGTAATGATTTGGAACCCAATCCAACTGCCGCTGTTGGAAGATGCTGCCAAAGTAGACAAAAGTCCTGCCCCGATGGCACACAATGCAAATCCGATCCGATGTAGAAGTATGTAGAGGCCGGTCTTGGATATGAATCCTGCACCAAGGCCACCAATTGGAATGATAGCGAGCGCAAATGGAAGATAGTAAACTCCAGAATCAAGAGGCGATATTTTCTTCACGGCTTGAAAGTACACAGGAAGAAAGTAATTGGCAGCTGTTATAATGATAGATCCGAGAAAGATAAGAACAAAGCTAACTGCAGATGTGCGATGTTTGAACAATCTCGGTGGCATTGTTGGTTGCTTACACAACCGAGTGGAAGGCTCAAAGATATGGAATGCCACCCATCCCAAGAAGCCAAATACTAAGGGAACAATGATATGCCACGATCCCCAGGAGAACTGAGAGCCACCCATGACCAGGCCGAGAAGTACTGCAGTTATACTCGGTATGAAAATAGCGTTATCAATAAAGTCAACTTCCGCCAGCGCATGTTTCCAGTTTGGATTTGGCGGGTAATTAACTTTTAGGCATAATAGGATAATCATGAGTCCAACAGCCGACACAGGTAGATTTATCCAAAAAACCCATCGCCAATTTTTCTGCGCCAGAATGCCCCCAATAACAGGAGCCACTGTCGAGCCGACGGCAGCCATTGAGAGTACACCGTTTAAGTAAGGCACTCGATGCCGTGGTGGAATGATATCGCAGAGAATAATATCGGCTAAGACATACAAACCACTCGTACCCAAGCCTTGGATTGTACGAGCGGTGATCAGTGTCTCTGAGTTAAGTGCACCGCCAGCGACTCCACTGCCTAATGCGAAGAGAAAAAGAGCAAGGATCATCGGATTTCGACGACCGAAGATATTGGATACCTGTGCAAAAAGTGGTTGTGTCGCAGTGGATCCAAATAAAAATCCATTAATGACCCCTAAATGATTAAATGTTGGCAAGTTTCTTCCAGAAAATTGAAGGACAAGAGTAACTCACAGATATAATCTTGACCATTACCGAATTCTCGAGCAATTGTGGGAAGGGCTGTTGTTACAATAGTGGCATCGATAGAAGACATGAGTGACAGCAGTAGCAACGCGAAAAACACTGCCATGACATCCCACGAGTGCCGGAAGGTATCTTGATTCTCGCATCCATTGATTTCTCTTGTTTTGACCTTCAACATACCGTCCGAAGTCTGCACCGGTAGTTGCTCTGATTCTTGAGAAACGTGTATTGGGAGATCATCTTTCCGAGCTAGGGCCGACATACACGCGGTTTCTCCTTCTGGACAGAGCGTGCGCGTGTGCTATGAGGGGGATCGAGAGGGACGTACGAACTGATTTTTTTTGTGTTTGAAGCAATTGATGATTCTCTGATACAATGGGTGGAGGAAGTATCCGGTGTATGAATCGACCACCAATTGTTCGGAATTAGACGGCGGTCCAAACTTTTGCAATTTGATTTGAACCTCTTGGCCAGTATTCTGGCTTGGAGGGCGCTTATTGGACATTTTAGATATCCCTGCAAAGAGACAAGACGTTTTACACCCATCCATTTTGAATGTGATTAAAGTGGGAAACACGGCCAATAGCAATGGCAGTTTTTTAAGTTTCCAACCGGCGACCCTCATACTAGATATGATTGGCTTTCGATTACAATTAAGATTCATAAAATAGGTACTTAATGCTGATAATTTGATAACTGGCTTATTAGAACATCACAGGATGGGGCGAACCCAGATCAACCCCTCAAGGACTTCGCCCTCAAACCACATCGACAACACCATCAACGTCAAAAATTTCAATTTCACTGATCAAATACACGCGAGCAACGACATGGATTAACCGAATAAGTGGCAATGAGGTTAATGATTGATGCGTCAAGGTTGATTCTTTTCGAGGCTGTTGCTGCATTGAGGCTGCCCCCCTCATCGTCACTGCTACTCCATTGAGTTTGGCATCCCATCTTTCATCTGCAGCTCACCTCTTCCAATGAATGGCTAAGTTGAGTTATGTTATTGTTCCACAAAATCAAGAGTATTTCACACACCCCTTCGCCTGACCTGCCTGATACGATTCAGATGTCCGATATGCATTGTGATGATGGAGGAGACTACATGTACAAGGGTGAACACACATGCGTAGAGGTACTGCTTTAAAAGCTCGACAGGTATGTGACGCATGTTAACTCTGATCCCTAGGTTTTGATCAAAAAATATACCAATTAGATTATCCCTTCGCTGGATCAAGAACCGCTATTATTGACAATATTTGACAGGCAAATGGGAAACTTTTCCTCGTTGATGTTCCAGAGAATCGCTATCATTTTGTTTCTACCTGGGACCATATCCAAGAAATCAATGCTGTTCCGGATACTGTACTTTCGTTGACCGCTACCGCAAAAGAGATTCTCCAGCCTGAGTACACGATGCATAAGTTTAATTGGGCAAACTCTAGGCGTCACGATTCGGTGCCTCTCACTCGAACACTGCAGACATATCTTACCAACTGGTTACCTAATCTACTCCCAGACCTGCGCTGCCATCTTAGGGTAACATTTGATCGACAAATTCTAGCTGGACCGCTCAAAAACGGTAAAAGATAACTCAGACTAATCTTTGAATGGAATGCTTAACTGATTTTCTTAGGCGTTAGGTCTCCTAAACTCTTCCCAGTATTGGTTGAGGCTATTGCTTACTCCAATATTATGGCATTTTTTGGTAAAGACTTGGGTGAGTATGAGCAACTGGAATAAATATCGATGTAATAATCAACTAACTTCGCGCTCAGTTCAGAATCCTGATTTTATGAAAGCCAGTGTTGGCTTTATTGAAAATACTCTAGTTATCTCTGAGATAGTACGAGTACTCCCTCACGTGGTTGCTCCGTAAGAATATGGTTCAGATACCGCTGGCTAGATTGAACACGGCTAACCCATGTTTGCTAGTATCGTGGGGAGATTCTTAGCCCGCCACTTTAATTCTCAAACTATAATATTTGATACCTTGATGCCGATCGTTCAACAGCGACTTGAACAGAGAGAACGGAAGAAGTACGGGCATGAAGTTCCCGAGCATGTAAGAACGAGACTGTGATTTGTAATGGCTGAGTACACAACTAATAGCACAGCAGCATGACTGTATACAATGGATTATTAATGGTTCCACGGTATGCTTTTGATTATTGTGAGATCGACCAGATTCTGACAAGACCAGACCGCATGTTTTGTGCTGCATGATTTCTGCCTTCGCCTTGAGTATATCCCTCTTATCCGCCTAGAAATTGAATCGATAGGATGGGAGTCATTCGATACATCCAAGGGTCGGGGGTTCCCGTTGCTCGACAGCTTCATGAAAGAATCATCTCGACTAAACCCGGTCGAAGCTAGCAAGAACATGTTACGACTTTTTTCAAATCTCAAAATCTGACTTGACCAAATAGTGAGCACGCGGCGCGTAGCCCTTAAACCGTTTGAACTTTCCGGCAGTCACCAGGTCCCTGTCGGCGAATGGGTCTGTACAGCTCCTGGTGCAATGCATCGTGATTCTGCCTACTATGCAAAGTCATCCGAGTTTCACGGCTTCAGATTTGTTGAGCCATTCCTCTACAGAACTATTCTTGAGGCCACTAATTTCGAGATACCAGAGTTAGGCAAATCATCGGAATTTGTGTCCGTTCCAGGTTGGCAGCTCTGGGCTATAGGGCGTGTTTCATGGTGAGTAATAATCTATCCTTCGTATATATACATGGAAAGTTGAGCTTGTAAGCTAATAACATGATAGGAAGCATCATGAATAGGGCGCTGTTTCCAATTCTCGGTGCAGAAGCGTGATCAGATCTCACAAGCAATTACTACCATTAACGAAAGGTACCACCACAATAGGTGAATAAGAACGAGGCGAAAATAAAAACAGTGACAGGGATGCACCCAAAAATCTGGTCTTTATATTTTTATCCAGCCGACTACCACCCAAGACATCCGATAGTTTTCTGGTTTCGTTCATCAATACCGATAGTCCATTGCAAATCCGATACACTCCGTATTACCGTCTGTGCTGTGTCCCTCCCCCAATACCACTCTGCCAATGCCAATGACCGTAAGCTCCCACACAGCAATAAAGATAATGCCCAGTGTACTAGTTCTCATCGTGTGTCCGTAATAGACAATCTGAGCCTCGCGTGATTGAGCAACCTCCTCCACCATACCCCATGTGAGGAGGGCGGCTTTTGGTTCAAGAAGACCATGAAATAGTTCCCCCAGGAACATAGGGGCCGCAGTCAAGAGGGCCGGAATGTGCCGCCATGAGAAGTGATTAAGCATGATGATGGTAGTATTCTTTGGTGTTCTCTATTGCGTAGGGGTTGCGAATGGATTGTAAGTGGGATCGATATGGTTGTGATGGGAAATAAAGATTACACTCTAACAAAGTACCCTTTTTATATTTACCGCTAAGACTGTGTAATTGCAATTAAAAGCGCCTAAATACAGACATTCACTGCCTCCGTGTGTTCTGCTTACCACCCTCGGGTGGAACAGTCCTGTGTTACGCGACCAGGTAGGCATTGCCAAGAACATATAAGTAAGTCGGCCTATAATGGTTAGACGAGCCTCATGATAATTGGATATTCTAGTATTCTCAGACAGTCAACTTATGGGAATTAATTACCCAGCTGCAGTGCTTACCAGTGCATGTGGCACAGTCTGATATTCACTGATACGATGTTACAACCTTCAAACCTCCTAGCAATCTGTATTTGACAAGGAAAACTCTTTGTAGATGCTTGGGAGCCTTCTCCTTAGCCTCACCGGTGCATATAGTTGGCGCCCAAGATTCAGCGTCAATATATGAGGCATAGCATGTACGTACACTAAATTAGATATAAGATGAAAATCATTAGCCCATTTTCATGATCACAATAATGCCTCGATTCCTGGAAGCATCTACCCGACACTTTGGAACACAATGAATACTCCAATCCTTGATCCAAACACAACCCCTCTATCTGTGAACCCCAGTGGAGCTCCAACAAACTTCATTGACCCTCCCACTCAGGCTCCAACAGTTCTTGGGACGGGTATACTTCTCATCATAATCAGCACGTTATGCGTTTGTACTCGAGTGAATACTAGCTTGAAGCAAAGAAAGAGACTACATCTTGACGACTGTGAGATATCAACCTTTACTGTTATTAAATATTCATACTGATGTATTTTCTAGATTGCTCCATCTTTGGACTCATAGGCGCTATTGGATATTGGGGAATCATATACTCATGTAAGTCCCAAGTCTTCACAATAATCGATCAGATCATTCACTTACCTACCGGCGTGGTAATCAGTGGCAGCGGAAGGTTGGGGAAGACACAGTTGGGATGTACCTCTTTCCTTCCTCTCCGACTCTTATACCAATGTAAGACCTCTTTAATATCACATTGACTCGGCAAGATACTCATCTCCTTGATCTCAGAGACAGTTCGCGTCCCAAATCCTGATATCGCCGGTCAAGTTTGCCATCACATCAGCATCATCATTGTTTATAAACGCATTTTTGGTGTTTTCAAATGGGTTCGCATTGTTTCCTACGGTCTTTATATATTCCTCTTCTTGATACAGGTCCAAAATATTGGAATCGCCAGATATTGGTACACTCCTAGAAAAGGTGATGCCAACAATATCCAAGCTGCGCTTTTGAGGACCGAGAAAACTGCATCTTCAGCTATCGCCAATGCTGTCTGTTCCACCATAGTTGACATCGTGCTGTTCCTCGTTCCCATGGCTGTTGTACCTACCTTAAATATGTCTCCCCAAAAAAGGAGAGCCATCTATGGGGTCTTTTGTTTTGAAGCTCTGTAAGTCGTTCATATGAAAAACTCTTTCGAGGATTTCATCATTCTGAGTAACTGAAGTTGCTGACATCACTTCAGGATTATCATTGCGGATTGTGTTGGCATGGCTTATAAAACGTACGGCGATCTTGGAGAACACGGAGATCCTTTCTGGGTTGGCATGATTGCTATCATTACTGTGTAAGCCACAATCATTGCAATGGTTGGATTGAAAGAAGGATGGAGTACATTCATACAGTTACTAATGTTTATCTAATCAGATATGCTGAAACGTTTGCCCTTGTCATCATTAGCTGTATACCTGCCCTCTCCACGTTCTATATCGGCACAGTCATCAAAAGCCGCTTCTACTCAACACTACAGTATGGAATTTTACATCGACTGAGAAGGTCCGTGGCGTCCAACATCCCGTCATCAGGTCTCGAGCAACCAAATTCCATGCATTCAACTAGATCATTGGTTGGAAGCGGCAAGAATGTTGCCACTATCGAAATGCCCGAGCTCAAATCAAAGAAGCCATCTCAAGCTTCCTCATACTCAACATTAGGGAACCAGGAGTCTGGGCAAGCCCATCGGTCGTCCTGATCCGGGTTTTCAGTCTTGTTATGGATAGCAATAAGAGAAAGCGATTGAGGCAATGGCCGAAGAAGAAATTTTCGATCACAAATTTGACTTTCGAATGATTTATATTGGGGTGTCCAAGAGTCAATACTTCCTTTTGCATACTCGCAGTAGGGCGGGAAATCAAGTACCAACCTTAGAATTGCTTGGACTATCAGTGTGATCCTTTTTACTACCTCCTTGAACTATCATTGGAGCTTTGAATGTGTATAATACATATCAGAATGACTATACATCAGATTGCAAGGTATCATGTAGATAGAATCTCACCTAAATCTGCAGCAGATCAAGTCCTGATGAACGAGCTCAACAAACACAAAGCAATGACAGACTTAAAAATAATAGACACAAAAATAATCAATATCATCCACCCCTCATGGGAAACGAGACAGTTTAACTCTTTCCATCTTCTTTATCATGCTCCTCCATTTATATTTATCATTAATTAATTTCAAAATTCACGGTTTCTTCTGTATATCATATATACTGGCTTTACCTTTACACCCTCCTTCCTTTTTCTATATTCTAGTATCATCCTCTTATGAATACTAGATGAGCGAGCATTAATTTACTAGTAATGTACGCGGAAAACGGGATTTGAAAGTCACGTAATGTTTAAGCTAGTATTTATAGTCCCTGTTTCTAAAAACTTATAAGTATCACGGGGCAGGCGGGCGGGATAGGGTTCTAATAACTTTGCCCTAATCTGGCAAAGTTATATTGGTTCAAGCAATGGGTTCAGATTGAGGATTAAGATGTAGCTCAAAGAGCTACAATACAGGATCTTCTGAGTTGAAGATATACAGAATTTTCACAGCGAGCTAGCCCGATCGGGCCCTAGCTCGCTTGCGCTCCGGTGCGAGCGCTCCTTTCGGTCCTCTCCGATAGGACCAGCATATCACGTGAGCTCACACCGTGACAATAAGAAGACAATTAATATTTTTTTCTTCTACTTTAATCCTTTATATTTATATACTTAGTTCTAAGTATATTCTCTTATCTTTTTATTTACGATTAATATTATTTATAATATGCGTGGGAAGCACGTGACTTGCAGGTCACGTGATAAGGATATATAGTATTTATAGTTCTTTCTTTTATAACTAAAAAATTATTAAACACTAATTTATTCCTAAACAAATGAAGACTATCAATTATAGGAAAATTCTAATAGATTTAAAATAAAAGCTATTTATAACTTATTCATTAAATTTGTCACGGATTGGTTATAACTCTACTTAGTAGGTTTGATGTTGATCAAACTACTTATACCCTTTTGGGGTTACGTGGCTTAGTGGTAGAGTACTTGGCGCCGTGACAAAATTAGAAGAATATTCTAATGTTCAATTGAATATAAACGTATCTTTTTATTATAAAATATTATCTAGAGATTCATTTAATTCAGTTGATTTATTAATCGACTCTTATAATCGTAATCGTATTTATAGTTGATTAATATATACATTCATTTAATTATAGATTTGTAGAAGCTAACCTTAGTTTTTTTATACTTGTTATGGTATGAGCTTACATAATATACTGATTCTATTGGAAAGGATTAAAAGGAGTGCTTGTATCAGAGCGTAAGCGAGTTAGAGCTTGATCGGACTAGTTTGTTATGAAAATTCTATATATCTTTAATTTAAAAGATTTTGTATTATAGCTTTTTGAGTTACATTTTAATCTTCAATCTGAACTTATTATCCAAATCAATATAACTTTGTTAGATTAGGGTAAAGTTATTAGAACCCTATCCCGCCCGCCTGCCCCCGTGATACTACGTAGCTCCTTTTTCAAGGAATCTCTCGCGAACTACAAGACATGCTATTGCATAACCCCGCTTCGACCCGTGAATTTCGTTAATATACTAACTATCTATAACAACTTGATAACTGATTCTGTTAATATTAACAATAAGTCTATTGTATTCGTTTTGTTGTTTTCGAAACTTCACTCCAAAGAATAATCGCTACTCCGTCTCTACAACTCACTAGCCCGAAATCTACTCCTGGAGACCCAATAAACCTGAGCTTAGGAAAAAAGGAATACACTACTAGAAACCTGGATTCACAACAGGAATGCAACAAATGCTATCGCTGCAACTCTGCCAGCCACCTAATACAAGACTGCCCATACCCCGATATCTGTCTTATTCAATTCCAAGTTATCACTATTACAACCAGCCCTACAAGAATCAGCCCTGTATCAAACAATCCTCCAAAAGGCCGAGTCCCTATCCGTTCCCCATTTTGCTCTTCTTCTTACTTGCTAATCAGCTTAGTCAATTCGGGAAATAGAATATGCCTGATCTAAATCGCAATCAGGATGATTCTTTGTGTATCCTCCGTTTATTTGCTGCTACTATTTATAGCTTTTCTTTAAAAGATAAACTAAATAATTGTGTGGATCTGATAATTCTATTTGTCACCTTGTTTTTGGAAAAAGATATTCTTCCGATATACACTATAATTGATAGTAGATATAAAGAAATTGCCTTTGCAAATCGAAGTTGAATATCTTCCCAGAAAATATCAATATACCAATTGTCTATAGCATTCAAAATTATAAAATTTAATGGAAACATTCTGTCTGATAATTGAGTTATCTTTTATATCCAAATAGAATTCAGAATCAACAATTATATCGAGAAGAAGATTGTTTTGTATATAATCGAGCTAGTTTATTATTCTATTATATTGAAAATAGTTTGGTTTAAGAAACATAACCTTTGTATTGACTTCACAATAAATTTGTTTTAGTTTGATAGTTTGTTTTGCTATGAATTTTATAATATTCTATTCTACCTATTCTATATAAAAGCTTTGCTAGATATTTCTTCAAAAGCCTGATTTATATACCTATTTGTCTACCCTAAAGGATTAAAGAATAAGGATATAGTTACAATCTCTCTAAAAGTCTATTTAGTTTATGTTTGCTGGAAATATGAAATGTTCCAAATATCAATTAAACAAATCGATAATATTCTAAATAAGAAAAAGAAGGTATTCAATCTTAAAAATCTATTATTTGAGTTTTAAAATTAGAAAGATATCTTTTCCTTAAAGAATACAAAAAAGCTATTCCCTTATCAATCATACAATTATAAGATTTGTTTTAAAGAAGAAGCTATTCCTTCTTTCAATACCTTGTACTCCATATCCCGTCCCAAATTAAAAGCTTTGAAAAAATAGTTGGAAGAGAATCTTAGAAAAGGATTTATTTGGCTAAACTTTTTCCTTATTATTTCCTTTATTCTGTTTATCAAGAAGATTGATAGAGGCCTTTGGTTTTGTATAGATTATTGTGCTCTGAATAACCTTTCGATTAAGGACCGATACCCTTTACCATTAATAAAAAAATCTTTAAACAATCTAAAGGGAATAAAGTATTTCAATAAGATTGATATTATCTCTACCTTCAATAATATAAAAATAAAAGAAGGGTAGGAATATCTAATTGTGTTTTATATCCGATTTGGATTATTTGAATTCCTAGTTATGCTGTTTGGGTTGATAAAAATATCTACAACCTTTCAAAGGTTTATTAATAATTCTCTGTAAAAATATTTGGATATATTTTGTATCACTTACCTGGATAATATTTTGATATATAGCCGAATCCGAAAGGAATATGTTTGTTATATTTAAAAGGTTCTATAAGCATTGCGGGAAGCTGGTTTGTTTACTAAATTCGAAAAATACGAATTTCTGAAATCCGAAATTAAGTTTCTAGGTCTTATTATAGGAAGGGATAATATTCGAATGGATCTAAAGAAAATCAGAATTATTATGGATTGAAAACTACTTGTTACTATAATTGACATTCAAGCGTTTATTGGGTTTGCAAATTTCTATCAACGATTTATTAGAGATTTCTCGAAGATTATCAGCTCGATAGTAGACTTAATCAAAAAGAATATCTCATTTTTGTAAAGCCCTATCTATCAAAAAGCGTTCGATCAATTGAAGCAAGTATTTATCGAAGCCCTTATCCTAGTTTCCTTTGATTAGGAAAAGAAAGTCATTTTAGAAATTGATGTTTCCAATTATATATTTATTGAAGTATTCTTTTAATACAATAATGAGGGAGTACTGAGATTTATTATGTTTTTCTTAAAAAAATATTCAGCAACTAAATGTAATTATAAGATTTATAATAAAGAATTGTTAGTTATTATTCGCTATTTTGAAGAGTGGTACTCGGAGCTAAAAGGCACTGTCTCCTTAATTCAAGTCATTATCGATTACCGAAATCTAGAGTATTTCACTACTACAAAGCTACTGAACCGTTATCAAGCTTACTAATCTGAATTTCTATCTCAATTTAATTTCCGAATCATTTATTGTCTTGGGAAGCTAGATGCCAAACTTGATGTACTAATCAGGAGATTAGAAAATCTCCTTAAAGAAAAGGATGAATACTTTCTATATCAAAGTTGTATTATCCTGAAACAAGAGAATCTGGATTCCGACCTGTTTCCCATCACTATTACTCTAACCAAACCCAAGATTGCTAAAAAAAATATGCTTTGTTATAACTACCTACAATTAAAGAAACCCTAATCCTATCGATATTATCAACCATTTAGATTTCGATAATATTATAACTTTGTTAGAAAATAGCAAAGTTATAAAGCCTACAATTCTATTTGCTATATTTGTATCCAACCTTATAATACAACTAAAAGATTCAGAAATTCTTTTAAATCTTTTTGCTGATCTGCTTACCCTATTCCACAAAGACTACCAAGCCGATCCTATATCCGAATCTATTCTGAAATCTCTATAAAAAGGATTCCCAAAATATCCAAAAATCATTTTTGTCAAATATATCGAAAACAATAATCTATTGTATTATTGAAAGAAACTATACATTCCCAACCACAATCCCCTGAAAACCTACCTGCTTTGTCTATATCATGAATCGCCCGCTATCGATCACCCGCATCATACCCAAACCTTCGA